GGCTGTCCTAGTGGGAAAGGTAATGGATTAGGAGCCGAGACAGCCAGGTTCAAATCTTCACACAGCCACAAAGCTTCTAAGGGCCAGTTGCACACATTCAGACTAGCAAACTCTACTCCATGGGGCTATTGTGAGGATCAAAAGGGGGACAGGGAACAAGCTTGAGTTCTGGAGAGTAGAGGAGAGATGGTGCTGTAAAATATGTAATAAAATAAAAACGAACAATTCATTACAATTAGTGGATTACAGTGAACTAATGTTTAATAAGAGTAGACCCAATGAAATGACTGGATATGATTAACTTAGGTCTATTAATTTCAACTCTGAGTAAAAGTTGGTTGGATGCAATCCAATGTAATTGTTTCACAATAGCTCTCTCATTTGTTATGATTAGCATAGATATCAACCAAAACTTTGTTGTGCCCATAACACTAATGCATTAAAAATAGTTGATTGGTCAATTAGCTACATCTTTTTTTCCTTTGGGGGGCAGTCAAATGATTAGCCCTTTCTCTGATGGAAACCCCTCCTGTTGTAGAGGACTCTGAGTCATGATCTGGGGCAAAGAACACACTCAAGACACGTGGGAATCCTGTTGAAGACCATGAAGCTTCACCATTGCTCCAAGAAAACAGAGGAGGATGAGCCCTGGAGCACCCCTACCATTCACCTGTGGAGGTATATTGCTGGAGAAGCTGGGGACAAATAATCTTTCAGGGAAACTTGGTTCACTATTTCTGATAATCTCATCATGAACACCAGGAAGTTGATGAGAAAGTTCAGTGGTCCACAGTGCGTATTGCCCATAGGGCCCCCAAGTGGGGGGCCCCATGCGGACCCTATTCACACACCACTGACACCCCCTTCAATTCCTAAGCACCTTAACCCCAGCACTGAACCCCGCCCCCATGTTTAGCTTCTCTACTCCCTATGCAGCAGATGGGATCGCTTGACCCTTGGCCCTAACATACCCACCAATTAAGTTTCTATGTCCCTCACAGCAGCACTAATTGCCAACACTGACTGACCCTTCCTCCTTATTAATTAAACTATTCATTCTGTAATACCATTATAATTCAGGAAGGAGATTGGGAGAAGGCACTGCAAGTAACCAGTAACCAGGTTTAAATGTAGATATCTGTATCTACCCAAAGACAGGTCCTAGGGAATTCAGTTTCTGTGAATTCTGAACTGTATCTCCCAGACATCTTCATGCAGATTAAAAATAATAATGGCAGATCAATAGGAACATGGAATGGAGCAGACTTATAGAGTGAAGACATGCAAAAAAAATGGCATGCACCAAAAACAAACTATTTGCCCATTCCTGTATCTATATTAATGGTCTCATGACAATAGTAACCATGTGAACCAAATGTCCCATTTGAATTTGCGTCTTTCCATTTGCAGGCTAGCAGGCTCACATAAAATATATGCACTACCTTAAACAGCAGCAGAGTATTTTTGCCCAATCCAGAAATATGCCCAGAGTAACAGATCATCAACAGTAAAAGAGTGCTAAAACAATTCTCTTAGTCAATGGGATTTTCCCAATTACACATTAAACACCATCAGATCAGGCTGCTGCTGCTGCAGTAGCAGCACATGGTACGAGTATAGATATGGGTTTCTATTGCCATGCAGTGTTTATCGTAAGCCAAGTTCACTGAATCACGTAAATGTGTTGAATTTCAATTCTTTTTTTAAAAAGAAAAGAAAAGGAGGTTGTATAAATAGAAGGTACAGCTAGAGTGGTAACCTCATTTAATTGCTTCTTTTAAAAAAACAAAACCAAAGCCATCCACTGAACTAGCTTCCTTCCTAACACCACATCAGAAAGCACCACAAAGCGCCAGGTAATAATTACCCGTTTCCCATGTTACAGCAACTGGGACTGATGGAAAACCTTGACAACCCGTAACAATCATTCTCCACCATCTCCAAACAACACAGCAGCAACATTTACCAAAGGAATGAGGCTTGCCACAGAGCAGCAGCTCACACTGTGCGAGAACAAACAATGATCGGAAAGAAAGAAAAACACGCAAGGCAGATTTTGTTTTTCTCGTTACACTCATCATATCCATTCAGAGAAAGGTGTCCATTTTTAACAAGGACATGAAACCTTAAGAGACAGGCAGCCAAGCCTGCTTCATTCATCCCCACCAGGGTCATTCCTTCTAACACAGCAGTAAGTTCATTTTTTTCAGAAAATAGAGAGTTTATTTTTACATGTATAGCCTACCTTTCACATGCAACAGCTCTCGGGTGATTTTCCATCCAGGCACTGACTGGAGCTAGACCTGCTTGTCTTTGGGAAGGCTGCTGCATCATGTACCTTCAGATCACATACTAAGGCCTCCTTCCTTCACCTCCACCTCTTCTACTATGTGATCCTGTCTGGTTTGCAGGCTTACCACAAGCATCTTGTTATCCACTGTGAGAACAGGATGCTGGACTAACTGGACCTGTGGCCTGATCCAGCAGGGTTGGTCTAGTGTGCACTGGTGCTTTGGTCTTGACTTCTGACTTGCCCCACAGCTTCTGTTTCTTGTCTCACCTTTGACTGCCTTCAAAGGCCCAACCCTGACCCCATCCTAGGTACTGCAGTCACCTCCTTATTATTAGTCTATATGTGGAGGTGAAGACAGCAACCATTCATTCTAGTCCCACACCTGATTGTCGTGTGCTCCTTTGGCCCAGCCCCAACACCCACATGCTCAGTGTGCTGTATGGGCACAGCCTCTCTTGCTGATTGACTTCTCCATGATGTGCAAGTCCATATGTATACAACAGATACATTTTGCCTGATGTGTGGATGATGGCAGCAGCATGTTTGTGGTGTTGGAGGATGATGACCAGCAACTGTGCTCCTGCTACCCCTCCACACATAGATTAAATGTGTGCAGCCACATGAATAAGTCTAACAGTGAGAGAATACCATGAATGAGTCGTATCACAGATGTGGGCTGTTAGGTGGATTTGTAGTTGGTTGACTGGCCAAACCCAAACAGTGCTCACCAATAGTCCCTTCTCATCCTGGAAAAAAGTGATGGGGGGTTCTGTCCCAGGCCTAGTGTTGTTCAACATCTTTATATATTGTGTGGGCAAATGAATTGAGGGGCTGCTAATCAAATTTGCAGATGACACCAAACTGGATGGGGTAGATTCTACCGCAGAAGATAGAATCAGGATTCACGATAACCTTAACTGATTGGAGAACTAGGCAAGAATTAACAAAGTGAATCTGAATAGGCTGAGGAACACCTGTCTTGACAGCTGTACATGTGTAAAGGATTTAGGGGTCTTAATAGACCACAAGCTTAACATGAGTCAACAGTGTGATGCAGCATCAATGGGGGGGGGGAGCTAATGTTGTTGTATGCTGCACAGCAGAAGTATAGTGTCCAGCTCAAGAGAAGTAATAGTACTGCTCTTGATCAAGCCCCACCTGGAGTACTGTATCCAATTCTGGGCACCACAGTTTGAGAAGGATATTGACAAGCTGGAACATGTGCAAAGGAGGGCAAAGAAGATGATGAGGGGTTGGGAAACTGAGCCTTATGAGGAATGGTTGAGGGAGCTGGGTATTTTTATAAACTTCTGCCATGTCATCTCTTACTTGCCTTTTCTTTATATAAAAACACTCCACACACCCCCACGCCTCCCCCAAATCCATGTTAGAGGGACAGGAGAACCTGTGGAACAGTACGCAGGGGGAGGAAGGGAGATCAGTCCCCCTGGAAGCAGAAACGCTTGCACTGATGGAACAATTGTGTCAGCTCAACGTTAAATTCCATCCAAAATGTGACCCAACATGCAGCTGTCCTTTGACTTTTGTATTTCACTGAATTTTCCTGTGTATTTTGTCAACCAAAAACTAGGGAAACGCTCACATATGTTAGTGAAAACAGCATACAAAAATGGATTATATATGGGGAAATTGCTTGCAGAAGTGTCCATAGAAACATAGAATTGTAGCGTTGGAAGGGACCCCGCGAGTTGTCTAGTGTCTTCAGACATCTAGATGTCTTCATCTGAAAAGGTCCTTTTCAGAACCTTTTCCAACTCTACAATATCATTTTTGAGGTGTGGTGACCAGAACTATACGCAGTATTCCAACTGTGGTGTCACCACAGAGTTGTATAAAGGTATGATACTAGCAGTTTTATTTTCAATTCCTTTCCTAATGATCCCTAGCACCTGCCTTTTTCACAACTAAAGGGGAAGGCAAAGACACATATATCTTGAGGACATCTAAAATTAAGGTGCATGTGACTCTTGTGTGATCTGCACCAGCTCAGCAAACAGGCTAGAAAGAGTTGATCTTAACATTTATGGGGATTTTTGTGGGAGATGGGGTATAAGATGTATATTGGATAAGCCTTAGTTTTTTCAGCATGTCTTTGATTAATTTGATTCTTCCCTTCAGATTTTCAACCTGATGTATTGTAGTGCTTGTGGTTATGGTAAGTCTGTGGGTTGTTGTTGCATTTTGTGGTATCTTATTTCTGTGAGCTTTTTTATTGATTTTTACTAGTGAGCCAATCTGGTGTTTGTCATCATATAAGGGGGAAGGGGAGCATTTATGAAATAAATAAAATTTTTGTCCCAGTCTTTTGCCGTCTCAAGTGAAGAATTACACTCATTGCTTTCAAGAAAAATCACATCTTTCGAGTTTCAAATAAGTGTTTGGAAAACTATGACTATATTTAAGACACTTAAATACAGCCAGAACTTTGTGAAACAGTAATTTACAGGGAGATTGAAGTAGACTTTGCCTTTTTCCCACCCGAAAACAGCATCTCAAGAAACCATATAAAAATCCAACCCTCATAAAAATTTGCTTTTGCACAAAAGTGTCTTAAGAAGTGCCAAGTCACTTTCTTGATAATATGAGTTTGTAGAGAGGAAGATTTTGCACGCCAGTCATAGAATCATAGAGTTGCAGGGTCCGCAAGGCTCATCTAGTCCAACCACCTGCAATGCAGAAAACTTTTTGCCCAATGTGGAGCTCAAACCCACCAACCTTAAGATTAAGAGTCTTATGCTCTACCGACTGAGCCATAGCTGTCATGTCAGAAGCACCACCTGTGTTAGTGCAATAGAATACAGGGGCAAAAACCTGGTGTGGGTGGGATGAAGAGACCTATCCAGCTTAATGTACGTGCTGCTACTCATGCTGCCTCAAGCAAGGGAAGCACTTTGCACCTGCATCCAACAAATTGGAAGGTGCAGGTGGAAAGGCACTTACAGGCACTGTCTGTTAGGTGCCACAGTCCTCTGTAATGAAATGGAAAGGGGGCTAAGTGGAAAGAGCTTTGTAATGCAGAGGGTGCCAGGTAGGGCTGACAAAGACGCTGTTTAGGACCTTGGAGAGCTAATGCCAGCCAGTGCAGACAATATTGATCTAGAGGAGCCAATGATCCAAATTGGTATTTGATAGTTCCCTGTGTTCACCAACCGCAACCGTACATGACCAAGGGACAGAGAGTGAGGTGAGCAAGAAAAAGAGGAAAGCAGTCAGAAGTTCCTCCTAGACAACTTGCCTCCCACAATTCTCTCCCTCAGTGCATCCCTCTTCCTTCTCCCATAGCTCTGATGGAACCGCTATCCATGGGAAACGGAGGAAGAGATAATGAGGGAACTAGTGGTGCTGTTGCTAGGCAATATCCTCACATGCTGTCTTAACTGTTTCGAGCCAGGCACAGCCAGTACAAAGCAAGGACACATGAACCCTTCTGACAGCAAAGACCCAAGGATGCACCAGCAACCATAAAGCACTCTAGTCACATGAATGGTAAAACAGCAGAGACACAAACACATGTGGTTCTTACTTATGATATTACACTGCTCACACAAGTAGACTGCTCTCGTAACTAGGGTTTTGCTTGTGTATGCATGCACATATAAGCATGCTCATATTTTGTCAGAAAGGAACGGTTGGGGTAAATAAATATAGCACACTGTGTCATTGGGCTCTCCTTATCCACCCGGTTCAAGACTGGTTCACACATGGGTGTTATTTATTTGTTACAGTTTTACCCCACCCTTCTCTGCCACAGCTTAGGGTTGCACACTACAAATCAAATCAATCCAATTAAAATCCTTAATATAAAACTAATATTAAAAACAGTAAGAATGTGCCATGCTGTATACAGTAGAAATAAATAATGGGCAATCGTTCCAAATCACCATTCCCCAGACACTTGAGTATGTTTTTAACTGTTGACAGAAAGATAACAATGTGAGGAACAGCTGCAACTCGAGGGGGAGGGAGTTCCGGATTCCAGGCGTCACCACAAAGAAGGCCCTGCTATTCAAATGGGTCATACCTGTTGATGTGACAACAAGCAGGGCTCAGCAGCAATTCTAAATGCCAGAGACAGTAAATGGACAAGGAGCTCCTGCAGATTTCAGTAGCCCATCCCTCTCCAACCTGGTGCCCTCCAGTTCTTTCTGACTCCAACTGGGGCTGATGGGAGTTAGAATCCAAAACATCTGGACAGTTCCAGGCTGGTGGATGCTGTGCCAGCTCATCAAGTGGTGTTGTCCTGCATGGAGGGAGGCTAAAACTGGATGCTTTACAATATGTGTGTGCTTGCATTTAAGTCAGTTATATTAAGTGTCTCTTTTACAAATAACATTCACCTGCTTGAAAGTGATTTCAGTTGCAGAGGCTGACATCTGTACTCACAATCTCTTAAAACAGAATCCACAGCACCAACTTAAAATCTGCTTTCTTATATAATAGGAAGAGCCATAAGAGAACCGTATCTGACTTTTGAGGTCAAGGACACCACAGGTCACATGTTATTGTGGCAGGTTATGAATATTTATGACTCCATCAACTAAAATGCATGGAGATTTATTTTTCATTGTAGAGAAGAAAACACTGTTCTATCCAGGAGCAATCAGTCCATGCTTCTGGAAAGCTATGAGAAGAAAAGGCTTAAGGGTTAGGCTATTTAAACCACACTGGAATTTAATCCCGCAGATGCTTGTTTTTATTTATTGCATTTGGAATAATAATAATTTTATGATTTATACCCCACCCATCTGGCTGGGTTTCCCCAGCCACTCTGGGCAGCTCCCAACAGAACACTAAAAACAGAATAAAGCTTCAAATATTAAAAACTTTCTCCAGGCTTTCTCCAAGTAATTAAGGACAGGATACATGGGATTCCACCACCACCCCCTGCCTAACTTTAGCACCACAACGATCCTGCATGGTAGGCAGGCTGAAAGAAAAAGTTTGGACCAATGCCATTTGTCACTAAGCAGGAATCTGGAACCGAGGCTACCCCCATTTCTATTTCAACACTCTGTTATGGCTTCAAAGATGTGCTTGCACGAGTCTTACAAAGTCACACAGAGATTTACAGAGTGAACTCCAGCTTTTGGAGGGTCTTTTGGCAAGTCACCCTCCATGGGCCCCTCTCTCTCAGTGAGTTCACCTCCTCCTTGCAGCATGTCTAGGAGACTCTTGTCAGTTGGCACCCAGGTGGGCTCTGTAGATGCTTGACCATGCTGACTCTTGACTTCAGCTTTGGAAGCATCTCAAGAGTTATTCAATCAGATCTTCCATGGCAAGCAAGCATCTCTGAAAGGAAGCTTGCCCAACACTATCTTCCCAATAATACGCAACTACCAATGAATATTAAGAGTGTTTAAAACTGCACTTTGTTTACATATTTCAGTGGTGCAGAAACTCCTCATTAGACCCATTAGGCTCCTCAATAGCTCCAATTTGGTTTATGACATCACAACATATGTGATAGCAGGTAAGGACATGGCTGAAAAAGATCAGTTGTAAGTCTCTAAAGTGTATTCCTAATTGTTCCTTGCCAAGCAGGACTCATTGACTGACCACTTGAGATTGGCTGCACCAGGGTTTCTAATGGGTAACTCCCTAATGCAACACATGGACCTTGCACTCAGCATTGATCAGCCCTGAGAGTGAGGCCCATTAGAACGATGTCAGGCATTTGCAGGCAGGTGGCCCTACCAGCCTGTTAAATGTGTCCCATGAGATAGATGAGGTAAGCATTCAGCACACAGGCTGGAGCCAGTTCCCCACTCCTGACAAAGCCTACCAGGCTTAGCCTGTGCTCCACACAAATTCAACATGCACCCTTGAACATCACTTAGAATTTACTGTTGTTGCAATGGGATTCCATGGCAAATAAGCAGGGGTAATTCAGCACACAAATCACAATGGAAATGACTCCCTGAAGACAGTGAGTCCAAAAGCCATAGCACTCTTCTACATGGCCAGTGGCAGTCAAGTATTTACAAGGATATTGGGGGGGAAAGAGAGAATCATGTTTTATCTAGTCAACAAAGACAGAAGAGGCAATAACACAGAGGGGAAGCCAGTTTGGTATTTTAAAATCTAAACTCTGTGTGTGGGGGTGGGTGGGTGGCTGGGTAGGTGGGGGTGTTAAAAAAGAACCTCCTCAGGAAATCCCATTGCTTGTTCCCACATCAGGAGCTGAGAATTTCCACCAAAAATCAAGTCCTATAATAATAATAATAATTTATTATTTATACCCCGCCCATCTGGCTGGGCTTCCCCGGCCACTCTGGGCGGCTTCCAAAAGAATATTAAAATACTATAATACATCAAACATTAAAAGCTTCCCGAAACAGGGCTGCCTTCAGATGTCGTCTAAAAGCCTGGTAGTTGTTGTTCTCTTTGACATCTGGTGGGAGGGTGTTCCACAGGGAAGGCGCCACTACCGAGAAGGCCCTCTGCCTGGTTCCCTGTAACTTGGCTTCTCGCAGTGAGGGAACCGCCAGTCCTAATATCCACATTCTATAGGAGTTGCTCACACTGCTATTCCTTTGAATGAAAAGTCCTGAACTGTTTAAGTTGTTCACCGCTTAAGCAGAGACATCACTGAAGATCCACAGTCACCACACCTGGGATGTACATACAAACTTCCAGACTGAATCTAGCTCAGGAGCAACTGCTTTTTCCTGTTGCCAGGAGAAGCCAGATGTTCAGAACACCAATTGGCTGGCCCTTGTTGGAAACACAAAACTGCCCCTCCCCTCGGAAGTGTGTAGACCACAATCATGAAAACCCTTCCAAACTCCCTCTGCTCCATCAAGAGCAATGTTTCAAGTCTTTTAAGAAATGTGCTGGCTTCAAATAATATCAATGATCACACCAAATAAATGTTTGAAATAGAAACATGTCCAGCACCTAGGGGGAGCTAAAAATAGCCAAGAGACTTATGGAGGTGAGCATAAATGCCTGCACTGTCATCTGAACCAAGCATAGAAGAGTGAGAGCAGGAGGAAGCACAATGGAAAAACACACACTTGCTCCTGGAGGAAGGTATATTTGTTTGTTTGTATGCAATCTTACTGACCACAAGATGACCAGATTTTCTGGTACTGGTTACAACTGTTTTTCACTACAGGAAGCAGTCTTTGCACATGCTTTGAACTTCTCTAGATCCAAGACTGAGAGTTCTCACATTTGCTCAAAAGCCTCTCATTCCACTTTGTGACACCAGCCCCCTAAACCTATGTTTGTGGGTGCTGGCTATGTAAGGTGTAAGAAATCAGCCCAAGACCATAATTCATCCACCAATGAATCCAGCACAATCTTCTGTGTCTTGAACATTAGATCAACTGGTAAAGAGTTTCTGAGGAAACAACTGAAGTAATCAGAATCTTTTTTCTCCAGAACTGCCCTTGAACTGACAGTTTTTAAAGGTGCACAAGCTATGTTCAGTCAAAAGTAGCAGCCTAGGCTTTAATTTCAGCCAAGGAACCCTCTTTTCCCTGCCTGGATATAAATGGCTGATTTAAGCAAAGATGTGACAAAGGGTCTTGCGGGGCGGGGGGGGGGGGGAGGCATTACTATCATGTTTTCTAGAAAGCCTTTTAAGAGACACAGCAATTCAACAGATGCTCTGTGCTGTGATGCATGAAACAATGGCTTGGCTGGCATTATCACACACCTAAGACTTTGTACAAATCTTTAAATACAGATACTTTTCATTTAGTCCTGGGTATGGAGTTGCAAAACTTCCTCAAGAGAGGACATCCATTTTT